TTAAATCAACATAAGCGCTACACTAATGTAGTGATATATTCAAAATTATTACCTTTAAACTAATAATTAAGACGCTTTTAAATTAATTATTAGGTTTGAACAATTAACAAGGCTTTTAAACTAAAGAAATACATTAATTTTATGTTTTTATTTTTACTGGTTTATCTTTCAATTGTTTTATTATTTTAAAGATTTTGTTTCTTTTTTCAGTTTTTGGTTTGTTTATTTTCAATTATCTCCTCAGTTTTTTTGTTTTTTTTTCAGCGCATTTTGAAAATACGAAAATTATCAAAACATGCCAAGTACCATGACCAAGTTGTCAAAATATTGTATTGTAGTCATACAAGGAGTGCAACCGCATGCCTCTCTGAAAAAGGCTTGCTAATATATATATATATATATATATATATATATATATATATATATATATATATATATATATATATATATATATATATATATATATATATATATATATATATATATATATATATATATATATATATATATATATATATATATATATATATATATATATATATATTTAAGCTAATATATATATATATATATATATATATATATATATATATATATATATATATATATATATATATATTTAAGCTAATATATATATATATATATATATATATATATATATATATATATATATATATATATATATATATATATATATATATATATATATATATATATATATAATAAATAAGTTTTCAATAAAAAAATTCATGATTCTTATGAAAACAAATCCATTCAAAAAAACAATAAACAAAAAAATTACATTAACAAATATTAATTGCTAAAACCTTAACTATACATTCAAACAATAAAAATTTTTAAAGGGATCCCTAAGTGCCTAGACAAGTTGTGTTCATATCATAGATAAACATTAGAAAATAAGTTTAAAACTAATTAAACTTTCCAAAACAAATTATTGAATGAGATATTAACAAAAGCATTTGTTGTTTTGCCATTAAACTTCCAGTTATAAGGTTAATATTAACCTTACGAGTCAGCATAGTTTTTTCTGTTAAAAAAACATCTGGTTTCAATAACAAATGTTTTTCGCTCACTGCAGAGTTTTTTAAACTCAGTTCAGTTTTACACAATCAGATTGGGGTTTCCCCTTTATATTTAGTCTGCGGTGGTTATAAAAAACTTTCATTGTAGCCTGTCTTTGTTTTTTGTTTAACATAATGCCAAGTATTTGAGTTAAACAAACTAGCATAATAAAAATAGTAACTTAGGTGAAGTGAACTTTAAAATACACAAGATGAACATTTTTCTTAGGAAAAAACTAATTAATTTTTTTATATACAACACTAAGTACAATATAATCCAAAAAAATCTTTATTTTTTAAAAATAAATTGAGGAAACCATTTAAAAAATGATGTTATATAAAAATTTAACTTAGGAGATTTTTTTTTGGATAGAGAGAGAAACTTTTTTCCAAGGATTAAATATTTTTTAATTTTTTAATATTGAGATGGACTGCGTTATGCTTTAAAAACTTCTATGAATTAATATGCATTGGCTTGACTAAATTTTTTGTCTAAGCATCTTGGAGCTTTAGCTCTTGTTTTTTAATCCATATTAACCCATAGATGTTAAACTGGATTGAGATTTGGACTTTAGGTCAGCCATTCAGGTAACTCTGTTTTTAATTGAAAAACTCTTCTGCTTTATATGATATATGCTTAGAGTCATTGTCATGTTGGAAGATAAATTTTTCTTATTGCAATTTTTCAAATAAGCATAGATTTTTTATTGAGAATGTTGACATAAACCTTCGAGTCCATAATTCCGTCTGATAAGTAAATTGCTTTTACCTCCCATTCCTGATGACATGTCAAAAACAAACAAAAATTTACAAATTTGGATAAAACTATTGACTGAATTACCTTTTTATTTTTTTGTATTAAAATCGTTTGTAAAAGTGTTTGTATTAAAATTGGCATTTTAAAAAATAAAAGTGAGCTAAATATATTTTTTCAGTACTCTAAATCTAGTACCCAGTACTAAGAGGGCTGTTCATATGGATAAAATCATCCGGCCTAACGGGGACAGAACAACAACTGCGATCCCACCTATCTTAATAAACTCTTACAATTTTAACATCGTGTTCATATATAAATTTCTTCACGCCTAGGCGGGATCTCGCCTATGGACTACCGAGATCCCAGTCAGGCAGGGTCAAAATTCTTCATATGAAAACAAGTTGAAAATCACCCGGCTTAACTGGAAAGTTTTGTTAAGAAATTTAATGAGCATTTAGTAATTTTTAAGTTTAAATCGTTCAACCACATATAGAAACAAAAATAGTTTATAATTTTATAAAGTACTTCTTGTTTCAAATAAATCGAATAAATAATGGTGACTGTTGCAATAAAACAAGTTAAAAAATAAGTTTTCAAATGTAATACTGAAATGGTAGAAAATTTGATTGATGCTATTTCTAATTACAAATCACGAATGAAATACCGCGGGATAGATTTTGATGGCGACAAGTCGGCAATGTATAAACATTTAAGGGATGATATGGGAAAATTGTATTGTAACACTGATGAAACATGGATGTTAAGTCCTGCCGAGTTTACCACAAGAGGTGATATGGACGATAAAGAATATAAAAAACTTTATCAAAAAGAGACTGAATGTATTGCAAAAGGAAGGTCTAGAATTGTTGAAAAAGTCAAAGATGTATGACAAAACTTTTCAAAAGCTGTCACTTTAGGAACAAAACGATTGTAATTTGGGATTTTTCAGCAAATATAAAACCTTTGCCATTTGGTATAAAAAGTAGTGAAGTCGAAGAAAACATAAACAGTTATAATGAAGAAACTGAATATGATTTTATTAATGAATCTCTGACCAATTATCAACGCCACCACCAGAATGGTTTTTTGAAAGAAGAAACGTGATTACTGCTACACTAAGTTGTAAAAGAAAGACATATGTAGTTCCTAAACTAATTGATAACAAGCGAAAACATTAAAAAAAAAATTTATATGCAAGTCAACGTGAAAAACTACTATTTGGTGAAGCAAGAGAATACGCTTAATTAAAAAAACTGATTTAATTGAAAGTTTGTTTATCAAGCGAAAGCTTTGTTGAATCACTAGAGCAAACAGGCAATTCCATGGTTAATGTGGGGAACAGCATGTGTCGTTCAATTGAAATGTTAGCAATGGCAACGCAACCTGTTCAACCACATTATTTGCCACAACACCAACCTATTCCAACTTATTATAATTTTAATGCACCTTAATATTCTCAAAATTTTAAAGATCCTGAACTAGCTCCTGAGAAAAAGCAAAAGTAGAAAAACTGCTTTATACACACATTTTATTATACTTTTTTGCTCTGTTACTAAAGAGCACCTGTTTGATATGTGAGAGTGTTAATGGATAGTTGATAGTTTTTTATGTTTTATTAATGTTGTTTAGTTAAGGTTTATAGTATACTTGTTTTGTACAATACTATTCAAAATATTTTTATTTATTTATAATATAGATTTTGATGAAAAATTAAAAACTAACAAGGCAGTAATAACAATATATAAACAAAACTCAATTATGCAGAAATTTTCTGTAATTTAACCATCATAAGTGATTTTATGATTTAAGCATTATTATCAGTTTGGCAAACATTCTGAAATGTAAGATGTAAGCAATGTTCTTGTGATCTCTCCTTCTGCTGTATTGTTTGAATAAACTGGATCAACAATAATATATGTTCCATTTTTTTGTATCCATGCAATACTGATTAAAATGTTCCTGGTAAGCAACCATAGCGTAGTTTTCTGTTTATAGATGAGTTTGCAAATACTTTGCTATTGCGAACACTTCCAGGCTAAACACATTCTACATCCATAAACATTCCTTTATAATTACATACTGCTTGAACATTCATGGAATAATATTGTTTATAACAAAAATCATCCTGAGAGTTTTCAACAGGACAGGCTATTGGCACATGTGCACTGTCTATACAATCCAAACCTTGAATCATACCAAATTTGGATTCAAACTCAGCCACCTTTTGTCTCATTTCGGTTTCTGTTTTCGGTAGAGATATATAGATTGGTCCTAGGTGATAAACAATGTTTTCACACACTTGTGTAATAATTGAAGAGATGGTATTTACCCAAAACAGTTGGTTGTCATTATTAAAGATTCAGTATCTTTAAGATAGTATAGAGTAATTGCAAGCTTTTTTTCTGTGTTCAAAGCTCTATAATTAGGGGATTTCAGATTAGCTGCTTTGTATGGTTTAAGTTGTTTGGCCAAATCTATAATGCACTTTTTGACAATCTAAAATTTTTAACCCAGTAAATTTCTGGAGAACTACCAATTTTCATGTTTTCCCACCACTTATCAGACCATCCAAGTTTGTACTAACAGCTATGGGGTTTTTTAATATTTTTTCTCAACATTTTGTCTTTAAGCTTTTAAAGGCTAACGTTTTTCTTTCTTAAGAGATTGTTAATGATAAGTTTAATTTGATGCTCATTTTGTAAACTATGTAATATTATTATACTTCTAATGTGCATCAAATAAGATTGGAGAGCTATTATATCAGTTGCAGCAATGAGAGCTATTTTTTTTTAACTTCCATTTTTAAATTAATAATTTGTGCAAATGATTATATATAAACAATTGTCACATGATCTTAAAAACTTCCTGCTAGAGCGAGATGTTTTTTTTCCATATGAACACAGCTGAAATTCATCCTGCCTAACCGGGGTGCCCCGGTTAGGCAGGATTTTTTATCTATATGAACAGCCCCTAACACTTAATCACAAATATTTATATATAAAGTTAAGAAATAATGTTGGCAGGGATAATAATAGTTAAAATTATATTGAAAATAAAAGTATACTGATAAAAAAATATATAAAAATATGCAAAAATAATAAACTAAAGATTAATAATGTTTACACTTACTAAAACCTTTTAAAGAAATAGTTTGAAAAACATACCATGCTTCAGCATCTATATTAAAAAAAAAAAAAATACAAATATTAACATTTAAAAATTTCTATATGCTCAAAATAACTTATAGAAGTACAACTATTCCCCTATTTTTAAAAAAGGATCTACTTCAGATGCTAACAATTATAGACCTATCTCTCTCACATGTACTAGCTGTCGTGTCATGGAAAGTATTATTAGTTCAAGTATCACTGATTATCTTAATATAAATAATCTAATAACACCTAATCAACACAGCTTTTTATCCAAAAGATCTACGTGCACAAATCTTCTAGAGTCAACTAATGACTGGAATAAAGCTTTAGACAGCAATTTAATTACTGACGTGGTATACATTGACTTTCAAAAAGCATTTGACTCTGTACCTCATCCAAAACTTCTGAAGAAACTTGCAATGTACGGCATAACAGATAATCTGCTTCATTGGATATCAGCATTTCTTTCTAACAGATATCAAAGAGTTCTGGTTGGAAATTCACTATCTAATCCAACCTGCATCCTAAGTGGAGTTCCACATGGTAGCGTCTTGGGTCCAACGTTATTCTTGTTATTTATTAATGATCTACCCTCTATAGTAAAAGATCTTAATTGCTCTCTAATGTTATATGCTGACGATATCAAGTTATATAGTTCATTTAAGGATGCCGATTACAGTCACGATCTTGCTGTAGCCATTTATAAAGTTTATCTCTGGTCAAAAAAATGGCAATTAAAAATAGCCAATAATAAGTGCTTTACTCATAGAATAGCACCTACTTCATTTTGTAAAGATATAAATTACAACTATCAATTAGGCGATCATAATTTAACTTGGTCTACAAACCCAAAAGATCTTGGTGTGACCATGGATTCTTATTTGAATTACAGTAATCATATTTCAAATATCGTCCGTGCATCAAACATTCGAGGATATCTAATCCTTAAATGTTTTAAAAGTCGTGATCCACGTGTTATCGTTAAAGCCTACACTACTTATATAAGACCGATCTTAGAATATTGCTCTCCGGTTTGGTTGCCAAATCGCACTAAAATGAACAATACAGTGGAAAGAGTACAAAGTTGCTTTACCAAGAGAATTTCTAACCTAAATAATGTTTCATATTCAAATAGACTTAGTATTCTTGGTTTGGAACTACTAGAAATTCGTCGCCTTAAGCAAGACATGATTACATGTTACAAAATTCTGAACAACTTAGTTTGCCTAAATAAATCAAGTTTCTTTTTATTTAACAACTATATTTACACTCGAGGACATAATTTTAAATTACGCAAACTAAAATGTAAACTCGATGTCCGTAAACACTCTTTCTCACTCAGGGTTGTTAATATTTGGAATAACTTGCCGTCTGACGTCGTAAATGCCAAAAATATAAAGAGCTTCAAAATTAAAATTAACTCTATCGACTTTGAAAAATACTGTTCCGGCTAACTGGTTTTTGTTTTATAACTATGGTCTTATATATAATTGTAATATATATTTTAAATTAACTAGCACTTGTATTATGTGATTGTAGGGCACGTTGTCAGAATCCTTCATATTTTATGGACCTGCGTGTCCTTTAGAACATGTACCACTGTTCTAATAAATTTTAATCTAATCTAATCTCATCTAATCTAACTAAAAAACTTAAAAATAAAAACATTTAGAATCTAAAGATGTTTTTATTTAAATTTATAAGAAATAATTTTTAAAAAATGCCTTTTAAAATTTTATGCAATATGATACTATAATATAATATGATACTATAATACTTTTATTTAAATAAATTTAAAAATCAAAATGAACAATTTAAAGTATAAAAACTTCACTGTTTTTATGTTAAAAAAATGTTTTCCAAAAAAAAGTTTCAAACAATATTTTGGAGCATAGAAGGTTAAAAAAAAATTTCATGTTAACTTATGTAAAAGTGGCATAGTGGTAGAGTGTTCATATCTTAACCAATTAAGTGAAATTATTGTAACAACGTTGTAACAACATTATTTAACAAGGTTTGTGATTTGGAAAAATTATAACAACTATTTGTATTTATAAAAAAATAAGTTAAAATTAAAAGAGAAATTAACAAAAGTGGCCCTCATATTTTATACATAGAGAAGATAAAAGATATAGTCAGGCCAGGCCCAGGCTTTCACAGGAAGACGTGCGATTTTAAGTCTTTATATGACCACGCAAGTTACATTTTGCTATGACAGTTTGACCGCGGCTAATTCAAAAAACGTTTTAGAAATGAGCTAAATAAAAAATATTCTAAAAAAGTGAAATTACTTACATCAAAACTTCTTAACAAATGTTTTTATATTAGCGAAACAATTTTTAATAAAGTAACAATTTACTGAAAAAAAGTTTTGTTTTTTAAATATAATTGACAGTTGTATATATTTTTTAAATTTAAAACATATAAATTGTTTAAGTGTTCATTTCTAAAATAAATCTTGTTAAAAAATAAAAAACTGCTTTGTTTTTATAAACGATGACATTCTACGAGTACGAAAGTCTCTATAACGAATTTAAATATAAGAATGATTAAAGTTAATGCATTTAAAAAGATAAACAAAATTTTGTTGAAAAAAAAGTTTTAGAAAACCGTTACTATTTAATAAGTTTGATCTTAAATGCTTTTATATTATCGAACTGCTTTTGATGGAGTAAAAAAAAAATGCTTTAATTAACGCTTTAATTAATTCAAAAAAAAGTATTAATAAAATATTTTTTTATTTTATTTATATAAATATGTGAAATATTTAACTTTTGTTTTAGTTGCGTTATATATATGTATTTATTTTATCGTGTTTTTGCTTCAACTAAGTATTTATTTTTATTTTCTCTTTCGTTAATATTTATTATTTTTTAAAATTTTTTTTCAGATAAGTTTAGTTAAGTTTTTGTAGCGCGTTTTTAAATTTAAAAAAAATGCCATGGTCAAATCGTTAAAACATTTTTTTTTTGCGTGGTCATATAAAGACGTGAAATTGCACGTCTTCCTGTGAAAGCCTGGGCCAGGAGTAAAAAAATGACACACATGAAAAATTGAAACTTTATTGCAACTGTTTTAAATGTAGGAATATAAAGTTTTAATATTCAGAACTTCCATGTCACTGCATGTACCAAGTAGTCAAAAAATTACAATTGTAATAAAGATCAACAGCCTGTTCTAAGCAAAAATTACTAGAAATTAATATAAACAACTTAATCAAGGACAGTCTTTATACTGCAACCAGGGAGAAAGAACATAATAATCGTGTAAACCTATGCCATAAGATTATAGCTTATGGAGAAGAATATCAGAACTATATGACCAGGCAAATAACATTTTCATTTGATGATTAGATTGCGGCTTTTTCAAAAAATAATTTAAAAACGCGATAAGTTAAAAAGCATCTGAACAATACCTTAGAGAGATAAACTACATCAAAACTTCTGTTTTTATATTAGCAAAATGCTTTTAAATAAGTAACAATTTACTGATAATGATTTTTGTTTTTATTGTATCATTGATAGTTGCAGGCTTGGACAGGAATGGCGTGCAATCGCACTCTGTAACTGACCACGCTAATTTTTTTTCTTTACAACTTGATCATGGGTATTTTGATTTTTAACAACTTAAATGCAATAAAAATAGTGTTTTGTTATGAATAACTTTAATTTTGAATGTTGATCTTTTCTAAAGTTTTTATTTTACGCAAAAGCTTTAAAAAAAACCATAAAAATTAACTGCAATGATTGTTTATATAAATACATGTGTAAATTAATAAAAAATATTATAAACTTTTTATTTATGTTGGCATGTATTACTTATGATAAATTTAAACGTTTGAAACTATTTATCTATGTCTTCCCTAAAAACTTTTAAACCTTTATTTTTAGAAAGAATTTAATTTATGAATAAGTTCAAAACCTTTTGTGACTACTAGTTTTTACACATTTTATGTGAATTATACAAGAATATAAAATAACTTTATTTACTTATATAAGAATGTAATTTGTTGATTAATGGAAAAGTTTTAAAGCATTTTGTTATGTTCATACGATTAATTTTTATAACTTACGTTTTTTAAAAACTAATAAATAAACATTATATTTAATAAGTTTTTTTTTTTTTTTTTAATTATGATAGGAATGAATGATTTTAAATCTTTCATAATAATTTTTGAATTCGTTAGTTGAAGCGCTTATTGGTAAAGTTGTAACACTGAAATTAAAACTAAATTAAATTGCTTGTTAGAAGTTTATTTTATTTATATTGCAGACTACGTTATTTTTCTTAACTTTTTTTTTTTTGCAACTTTTTTGAAAAAATAAATGTTTATACAATTAAAAAATATTTTTAATACAACACTTTTTAATAAATTTGATAAAATTTGTTCATTTATTAAACAATCATTAGTAGCAATTCGTTACTTAATTTAAATGCGTTTTGCTTAACTTTAATAAAACATTTGAAAGATAATTTTAGATAAAATAGTTTTAATAACATTTATTTCCAAAATAATTAAAAACATAACAAACAGTTTCGCTTCGAGTTTAAGTTTTTATTTTATTTTAGGGCTTATATAATTTCTTTTTTTGTAAGAATTTTTTTTCGTTTCTTATTTTGTTAGGAATTTTTTTAAATAAACTTTTTTCTTAGTTTAAGTTTAGCTCAGCGTTTCTACATTCAGCTCATTTCTGAAATGTTTAAATCATCAATACATATAAACAATCGTGGTCAAGTTGTCAGAAAATAAAATCATTAGCGTGGTCAGCAACAGCGCTTGATCGCACGTCATTCCTGTCCAAGCCTACAGTTGTATAGAATTTTTCAATTTTATATTAAATAAATTATTTTAGTATGTATTTTTTATAATAAACTTTATTAAAAAAAACAAAAAAAAAAACATCTTTTTTTATAAACGACAATTTTCTTAGACAATGAAAGACTTTTTAACAAACTTTATATAAGAATCATAAAAGTACATTTAAAATTACATTAAATCATTAAAGCACATTTAAAAAGATAAATTAGTTTAAAAAAAGGACAACGTAAAAAAACACATTTTTGAAAATGTGTTCTTTACGTTTATTGTTTCCATTATTTTATTGTCAAGTTCTAAGTAAGAATACCACACTGAAGTTTTGTAGTCGAGATATGGTCTTACAAAGAGGTGTACAATAATTTAAAGGAGTTTATATCTAAGTTTTCAAATAAATGTTTTATTATTCCTAACATTTTATTAGCTTTACCAGACAAAAAAATTAACTCAACTAAACCATTTTGAGTCATTTGAAATCATAAATCTTTATGAATTTTGGTTTCTGGTAGTTTTACTCTGTTTAACAGTGAATCATACATTGTGTATTTAGATTTGCTAACATTAAACTTTAATAGCCATAATTTTGACCATGTCATTAATTTGTTCAGACCTAACATAATGTTTTACATAATGTAAAACTAATTAACATAATTTGATCATCTTCTAATATAGAAAAGAACCAGTCAGGTCTGAACAAATTAATGACATGGTAGCAAATCTTAACGCATGCAGTAGGTAGTAAAAAATACCAAGTATATATACACAATGTATGACTCGCTGTATGCTGATAATCAGCATACATTTTATAGGTTGATAACTCATTTAGTATCTAAAGACAAACAGACCCAAGACAAGAGGAGTGCTGCAAGAGCACTCCACTTAAAATGAGAGACCAATTTAAAATTTCTTTAATGCAGACAACACATTGCACTCTGTTATATACAAAATGTCTGCACCATCTAAATGCTTGATTGCTAAATCCATAACTTTTTAGTTTAAGACACCATGTTGTCAGGCACAGAATCAAAAGCTTTTTTCTAGATCTAATTTACCAGCAAAAATCATTTTTCTAATCTAGAAAAATGATTTCTGCTGGTAAATTATCTTTTATTGCCTAAGTTATTAGATTCTATTAAAAGGAAGCTATTAAATTTTTTTTTTTTTCAATAGCTTCCACCTTTATAAGATGAGGTACTTTTTACTTTTATTATTACTTTTTTAATTGTCAAATCCCTTTAAAACTTTAAAACTCAAAAAAGATAACTTTAAAGGGATCCCAAACTCCCAACACATGTTGTGCTCATATTAAAGATAATTTAAAAAAAAAAGGTTTGAACCAAGTTTTTTTGATTGAAATAAATAATGAATGCATACAGAGAAAAACTAATGTTGTTGTTTTTAACAACAACATTAGTTTTTCTTTTGAATGCATACCGAGAAAAACTAATGTTGTTGTAATAACATTAGTTTTTCTCGGTATGCATTCATAATTTTTTTTAATCAAAAAAACTTGGTTCAAACTTTTTTTTTTAACATTATCTTTAATATGAACACAACATGTGTTGGGAGTTTGGGATTCCTTTAACAAACCATGTTACAAAGAAACAAGTTGAGCTCAATACTAGCAGGGAAGTGGTAAAATTAAAATAGATACTTATCTTATACAAAACAAGCACTCTACCACTACACTATTTACTGCATGATATATAAACAATTACATAAAATAACAAATATCAACAGCACAAACCTTTAAAAGGGCAAGAGATGATATATAAACTTGTTCAGCTGTGTCTACGGTTGCAGCATCTGAATTTCCATTCTATTGAGAAATTAGAAAAGTAAAAGTTATAATTATTACTGATATTAAACTTTGTTAAACATAAATATTACAATTGTAATAAAGATTAAACATATGTCAAACATAAAGCTTCTGCTGTTACAACCCTCTCTCAACTTTTGAACTTTAAAATATGAACCTTGATGAACAAGGTTGCTATGCAGTAGGGTGCATTTAATGTCCCATACTTTCAAAAACAGATATGTACCTATTATTAGAACTTTATTGGTTCTTACAAGCAACTCTATTAAAATTGTTTTTTAATATATGTCATGTTGGGTCTCGAAAGAAGCAAAATTTTATTAAAATTTCAAGTTTTATTGCATAAAAACTATCATTTTTAAACAAACAATTAAAAAAGTGTAACTTTTTATGGCCTTTGTTTAACTTTTTTTTCAAAGTGCTTTTAATAAAAATAGATTTCGAACTATTAGGATTAGATTTTGAAAAAATATTTAATTAACTGGATTTAAAAAAAAAAATCAACTTAATTTAATTTTAAAGAATCTAAATTATATACACACTTGCTATCCAAACCTTAACTTTTATATAATATGTACTGAAGTACAGAACTATTATAGTCACTAATGATGTTTTATGTGCAATATAATGTTTTAAGTATGCAGTATAATTTTTGTAATTTTATTTTAAAGTTTCTAATTCTAAATCATATAGAACAGTGCATAAAACATTTTTGTTTTGGATATATCTAACTTCAGGCTGTTGTGAGGATATTGCATGTGTTATTAGATTTGGCCAAAATCGTAGAGAAATTCTTTTGTCAGATTCAAAGCTTTACTTGAATTTTCTAAGAGTTAAAGCCTCTATACTGCAGCCCTAGGGGAAAAGCAGTTCATTAATATATATAGGCTTTGGCAGGAATGATGGGCTACTAACTTACACCTGCGTAAGTCAGTTTACGCGGGCAAAATAAAGCCTATGCAAAGTATACACCTTTGGTAAAAAAAAAAGGTTAAATATATGTTTTTTTTATATATTTATAAAAAAAATATATATTTAACCTATAAAAAAACATAATATTATTCTTTAAAACCTTCTAACATCATGTGATTTCAACATAAATTCAACCTCAACTTCAAGTTTAAAACTTTTTCTTTTTTAATTTAAGAAATTTTGTTTAGAGAGCTTTAAAAAATTTTTTTTTTGATTATTATGTAATATTAGACAAAAAATAAAAAAACAAAATCAAACAGTTTTTTCAAACAGTGATAAATTGTTGCATATTATATATGCCACTGAAATTTTAATTTGTTACTTTTTCATTTTGGGGATAGTATTCAATTTTAGAAATAAAAAAGTAGAAAAATGAGCATTTAAAAAAACATATTTATTTTTCTCCACATTTTTTTTTTAATTCATTTTTATATTTAATAACTTACTTATTAATTAAATAGGTGATAGTATAATAATGTTATAACATAATCAATTGATTTAATAAAACAAAAATATAAAAATACAGCTATACAAAAAAGCAGTTTCTTATAAACAATTGGTCAAACTTCTACATCAAGTCAAACATTATAAAAGTTTATTATTTTCTCATATTCTTTTTGAATAAAATACGAGTAATGAATAAACTTTTGACAAGAATTATAATAACAAATGTGAACTGGTGTTATAATAATATAATATGGAATTATAATAACAAGTGGGTGAACGGAAATCGTTCAAAAAGACTTAAACAATTTTTTTTTAGCACATACTGAATTAAATTTTTTTTTGATTTTAAAAAGAAACATATTTTACATTTTTTTTTTACCAACAAGTTAATATTTTGTACAACCCATGGCTCGTGCCCACAGTTCCCTAACTCAATTTATCCAAGCAAATCAAGGTTCCACATATGTAGAAACATTTGACATTTTTTAGATATGAATATCTTTGAAATGATTTTGTTTTTGGTGGGTTATGTTCTTAGCCAGGAGTATTTTTATATTTTAAATTATTATTATTTAATTTGTTTCATCCTGAGCAATCTTTCTAAGTTTTTTTTCATATTTTATTCGTTTCTCTTTTTTGTGTGATATCATAGAGAGAAAACAAGAACAAAAGACAAACGTTTGCAATTAAAATTTGAATATAAATATATATATATATATATATATATATATATATATATATATATATATATATATATATATATATATATATATATATATACATATATATATATATATATATATATATATATATATATATATATGTATATATATATATATATATATATATATATATATATATATATATATATATATATATATGTATATACATATATATATATGCATTTATATATATATATATATATATATATATATATATATATATATATATATATATATATATGTATATACATATATATATATAAATATATGCATTTATATATATATATATATATGCAATTAAAATTTGAATATATATATATATATATATATATATATATATATATATATATATATATATATATATATATAGTATATATATATATATATATATATATATATATATATATATATATATATATATATATATATATATATATATATATATATATTAGAGTGGAGCGATTTTAAAAATTTTCGAAATTTGATTTGTCCGAGCTGCCAATCGATGTTTTTTGGTGAAAAAAGAACCTTACTTTTTTTTTTATTTTAGATGAGTTTTTAAAATTCCTCTTTGGATTCTAAATTTATGACAGATCCTAATATTGTTGAAATTTTTTTCTTCCAAACTATATCAACCTGGTACTTAAAAGAAGCAAAATAATATGCTGATTTTGAAAATAATATTTGTTTTAAATTAAAACCCAAGAGAAAAAAAAGTTTCATTTTTTTTATAAAAAAACCCCTGCCTTCATCAAAACGGGGGTTTTAAGGTATTTTTTTGCAAATATTTTTTTGACTAAAAATTTTTTTTTATTAAAGTTATTATTGATAAAACAAGCATTTTTTTCTGCTTTTTTTGAGTCCAAGGTTGATAAAGTTTAGAAAAAAAAAATTCAAAAATATTAGGATCAGTCAAAAATTTAGAATCCAAAGAGGAACCTCAAGATCAAAATCAAAAAATATTTTTTTACTTTTATCTTATAATAGACATCGATTCGTGTCTCAGGAATATTGATTTTTAAACTTTTTTTATTTGCTATGAAAATCGCTCCACTCTAATATATATGTATATATGTATATATGTATATATATATATATATATATATATATATATATATATATATATATATATATATATATATATATATATATATATATATATATATATATATATATATATATATATATATATATATAAATATATAAATATATAAATATATAAATATATATATATATATATATATATATATATATATATATATATATATATATATATATATATATACATATATATATATATATATATATATATATATATATATATATATATATATATATATATATATATATATATATATACACACAAACACACACACACACACATTACTCAAGTGAGGAAAGTGTTAAAATCTATAAATAAATAATTTAAAACAAGTTATTACCCCTTTCTATTTAAGGAGTTTAAAATACTTTAGGTAAACTAAATTTCCTGGTAAATTACACTGAAAATAAAATGAAACTTGCAATGAAATGTAACTTTTATATTATATTTGCGTAAAACACAAAAGAAGATAATTAAGTAAACATAAATTTTTTTGTTTTTTCTATTTTATTTACAAATGTAAAAGTTTAATTTACGAAAACAGTTTTATAAATGTAAATTAAAAAAAAAAAAATCAGTTTTTGTATTTATAAATAGTAAATTTAAGCAAATTTTGTATTTGTAAATTAAAAGAAAAAATTAATTTTCATATTTAAATATTTTTTAAATTTAAATACCTAGTATACTAGATATTTAAATACACTGATAAAATTTAATGGTTTTGTTGCTTACTTATATTAATTATAAAATACTACATTGCAACTTTCTTTGCAATATGGTATTTTATAATTAATATAAGTAATATCAGGGCTATTTTCGATAATTCTAGACCATTTTTGATAACATATAGGGGCGCCGCCCAAATTAAAATTTGAGGACATTTTTTTTTTATGGCAAATATTATTTTTTTTTGCAAAAAAAAAGAGCCAATTTTCCTTTGTTTGCCAGAACAAGAGGTTACCGCCGCCCAAATTTTTCCCTAGAATAGGCCATATATATATATATATATATATATATATATATATATATATATATATATATATATATATATATATATATATATATATATATATATATATATATATATATATATATATATATATATATATATATATATATATATATAGATATATATATATATATATATATATATATATATATATATATGTATATGTATATGTATATGTATATGTATATGTATATGTATATGTATATGTATATGTGTATATATATATATATATATATATATATATATTTATTTATGTAAAAAATACAGTAATGAATCACAATTTTATTTTCAGTTTAGAAAAATATCTGACCAGATTTATAAGTTTAAAGTCTATGTTGGAGCACTTGTGTTTTTAGATAGGATTTTATAATTTTCTTATTTAAATGATATATTTATTTCAATTTATTTATTAAATAATATTAAAAGATATTTTTATTTTTAAATCTTATTTAAATGAGTTAAAATAATTTATGACAACCTTTTTATGATACCTTTCGAGATATAAACTTGTTTGGTATCAGATCAAAAATGATTTTTTTAATTGTAATAATAACACTAGAAAGATTTCAATATAACCTTTGAAATAGGTAAAGTTAGACTAAATTAAATTAGTATTTAAAAAAGTTATTATTTTTAGAATATTTGCGAACTGTATTTAGAATAATCATGAATAAACTTTCATACTATAAACAGTAAATACCAGGTTGTATATATTGTAAATACCAGATTGTGTATTTTTTTTTAATTATGACTAAAAATGATAAAATACATTAAAAAAATAATAATAATAACAATAAAAATGTTAATACTTTATAATTAAAAAATTATTTTAATATTTTATTTTTAAAATTTTATTATTAAACTTTTTATATGATTCAGAAAGTCATGTTGTTTAAAATATATAAAAATATTATTGAAAAAGTGTTTGAACTATCATTACCAGAAAATAATAATATTTAGAAACTAAAACAATACCTTTGTGTTTGGTATGAAAACTACCCTTACTTAATATTAGTCTGTCTGATTGAAAGCGATTCCATAGAGCAACAAAAAAATATTTGGGGTTTGATAAAAAACATGTAATTTTTGCAAGCTTTGCTCTCTTATATATATTTTTTTATAATTAAGCAGGAACCTTGTGGATTTTTGCATCTCAACCTTTATCTAACTATGTATAGAAAGTACTAAACTTTGTATGGCTTTACGTACATGTTACTAAAGTTATGAGACCACTATTGATCAAAAAACTTACCACAATAACGCTTTTCAAAACTTTCCTTATAAATTAAAAAACCAATGAGTAATCTAATAGAATAGGGAACTATTTTAGCATTTATACACAATTTCTTAGTTCTCAGCATTTAAAAACTTAAAGGTTAGTTTATAAAAAAACATCTTTTAAAAAAAGTCCCCTGTGAAAAAAGCACGCATAGAATAAACTTTGTACATTCATATATTTTTTGATTTGAGTTTTAATTCAAGTAATATCACCAGATAACTTTATAATTACAATAACTATTTTTAATTTTTTAAAGATCATCTTAATGTTTATGTAATTTAATATATATAATTGAAAACATTAATTAACAAAATTACATAATCAGCTTTACTCAAAAACTCAAACAGCACAATTAATTCAATGGCTCAAATAATTGGAGCTGAAGTATTTCTTTTAAATAGTATTGTGATGAAAACATTTATTTTCATTAAAAATGATTATTTTTTGATTTTATTACTCTTAATAATCTTATTCGACTGTTTTAAATTTTTTTTCGAAATAGTATTAGTGTAATACATACCTGTCCCATAGAACCTAAACCTCCTGACCCTAGTCTAAGAATTCTATCCATTGAATTTCTTTAAAAACTTTACTTCTATCAAATTTTCAATAAAACCTCATAAACTAAAACAACAAAACAGGATTTAAAATTATGCTTAGTCAACGGACGACGGACCTATCGGAGGACTACCTATTAGGTCGTTTCGTTATGGTGCGCGGAAGAAATAAAAAACAGACCAGAATAGTATAAGGGCGAAATAAAAAAATTCAGTATTGTAATTTAACGCTTCGTGAAAAATGTTACGTAACAACACGTATTATTTTGACCTAATGACATGTAACACCGTAATCTATAGTATCTATCATTATTTTTTCTTTTTTTTTTCATATGTACCTTTTTAAATACAAAGATAGTGCAATTATATCAGAAAAGAGCTAAATATAGAGAAAGAAGGAGAAAGAATTGAAGTCAAATCAGAAAGTGTAGATAGATATTGCACAGAAAGTACAAATTATACACATAATTGACGTTGGCTTACTAGTGAATGTGTTATAATAATTAATTTTAAAGAAAGGTTGACATTTTATAAACATTTTTGCTTTTGGGATTATAAAAACGCGTAAAGTATTACGCTTGTATTGTTAACCAAAAAACGCGTAAAGTATTACGCTTGTATTGTTAACCAAAAAAAGCGTAATGTAACGTAGCAAAATCGAGATAAGAGACGCAGTTAAAATACGTTTCAAAAATAGACTTTTTTAACGTTAAGTTACGTTTCAGTCTACACTTTTTAAAAGATGCACTTTCATAAGTTAAAATAAAATAATTAAAACGTAACTTTGTAAATTGAAACTTTTTTTTTACAGTTAAAATAAACGATGACAATTAGCAATTTTCAAAAAAAAAAATTTACTTACAGATCCCGACGGGCATTTATTTTTAAAAGTTACGTTCTAAATGTATTTTAAATGTCTTTTAAACGTCTTCTAAACATTCTTACGCAAAAAACGTTTAAAAGACATTTAAAATACATTTAGAACGTAACTTTTAAAAACAAATGCCCGTCGGGATGTCTCGACAGTGCAATGTTCTTGTAAGAACATTGCACTGTCGATTGAGACATTAGATTGAGACCGATTGAGACGTTACGTAACTTTAAAATGTTATAGGGGATAAATAATCAAATATATAAATAATATTGTAAATAAAACAATTCTGTAAAATACCGTAATAAAAAAATAAAGTAAAGAAATTTAAAAGATTAGCTTTACAAGTTTTTTCAACAAAAAAATAAATAATCATTTTAATTAGCAAGTTAAAAATAGCTATACTATAATAAGACTTCTAAAGTAAAATATAGAAATAAAATATATATAATAATTATTTACATTTTTTTGTGTGTCATTATCTCATTATATACAAATACTCATTATATAAAGCAAATAAATATAATCTTTATTGTAATAAGATAAAAATACTTCAAAAGTAAAGTAAAAAGCAAAAAAAAAAAAAAAAAAAAAAACAAAAACAAATAAGTAACGTAAAAAAAAAAATTAAATTTTAAAACTAAAAATATAAAAGTATGTTTGTATCTGTTAAGTCAAGCAAATTCTGTTTAACTACGTTTTTAAAAGATTGTATTAAGGTTATACTTTTCATTTTGTCGTCAAGAATTCTGTTCCATAGACGAGGTCCTCTTTATGAAATTGAGTAATCTGTTTTTTTTAATGTTGATTTAGGTAAGTTAAAATTGTGAATAGAGCACCTCGTTAAGTATTTATGAGAAATAATTGAAAAATGATTGTTAAAGAATTTAGGAAGCATGTCGTTTTGATATTTAATCATAAATAATAGGTTTTGGTACAAATTTAACTCATAGACGTTTAAAGCTTTGATTTCACGAAGTAACGGTTTGGCGTGGGCACATTTATGCATATTACATATAACTCTACTGGCTTGTTTTTGTTTTATATTTATTTTCTTTAATGCTGATGAACAAGTACTGGCCCAAGCAATGTTACAGTAGCTAATGTAACTAAGAATAAAAGAGTAGTATATATCTTTTAAAATGTTATAGAGGATAGATGGAAATACAACGCTAGGAAACATCAAAGGTTCTAAATACCGTCACAAAAACCATGCGTGAAAAATAAATATTCGGTAAATGAACGATATTTAAAAAAAATAGCGTATTATTTACGCCAAAACATTAATTAAAATTCTAATTTAATGATGTTTTAAACAGATACTTCATCCTTACATAAATAAAATATAGTTTAGAATTTAGCTGGAATGTTGCCAAATAGTTAGTTTTATAATTTAAATGAAGACCAATTTTTATGAGTAAAAAGATGGTTTAGCTGATGGCTGTCGGATCAAAAGTATATTCAGTCACATACCTAAAAACCATACATATCAGTGTTACCATTTTATAAAAAAAGTTTATTTGTTTTTTCAATGTTAAAGATACCTTTTAAAATACATTTCAGCACCATTCATTCTCATTCATCTCCATTCATTAAACTTAAAGTTCCTCTCAAAAACAAACTTTTGGAAGTTTTTTTTTGAGAAAAATTTTTTTTATTTTTTTATTTTTACTCAAAAACTTTATACTAGAATATGATTTTTCAAATCATATTCTAGTATAAAGTGATTGAGCATGTATTTTGAGGAAAATTTTTTTAAAAAGACATCCTTGAAACAAAAAAAATTTTATTGTAGGGGATTTTAATATGAATTGTTTCCATTACTCTACGGACATTAAAGTTAAAAAATTTTTATAATTCTATTTTTGAAATGGGAGCCATTCCTTTAACAAATAGTAACTCAAAAGTCAGCTACTTTAATTGATAACATTCTAACAACTGATATTTTTAACAGTGACTTAAATTAAAGTATCTTAAAAAAAGACATATCATGACCATATCAGGCGTATGCTGGAGGTGGATAGCAGATTACCTGAGTAAACGTACGCAGTCCATATATTACGAAAATAAAAAATTTACGAATTCATCTTTAATTTCTTGTGGAGTACCCCAAGGATCTATTCTTGGGCCTCTACTTTTCCTAGTATACGTGAATGATCTCTGGAGAGCGTCAAATATATCAACAATAATGTTTGCTGACGACAGTAACTTTTTTATTTCAGGAAAAGATATACCTCAATTCTTCGTACAAACGAACAACGAGTTAGATAAAATTTCACTATGGTTCAATGCAAATAAACTTTCTATTAATTCAAGTAAAACAAAGTTCTCATTATTCCACCCTTTAAAAAAAAAAAAATTCCTATTTCTTTTCCAAAACTAGTTATTGAAAACACAGAAGTTAGTCGCGAAAGAGTCACGAAATTGCTTGGTGTTCTCATTGACGAAAGTATTACCTGGAATAAACATATTGCCTATATTGGCAGCTAAATATCAAAAAGTATTGGCGTTCTATATCAGTCACGGGATTTTCTTAATAAGCATCATCTAAAACAAATCTATTTCAGTTTTATACAAAGTTACTTAAATTACGCGAATATTGCGTGGTGTAGTACATCTAAAAGCAAGCTTGAAACACTCTATCGAAAACAAAAACATGCCTTAAGAATAATAAATTTTAAAAATAAAAACGAACATGCAAAACCACTGTTCGAAATTATGAATATTTTTACGTTGTACGAGATAAACGTTTATAAAATTTTATGTCTCATGTACAAAAGTAAATTTCAACAATGCCCCTCAATTTTTAATGATCTTTATGAAAGAAAACATAACATTAAATATACTTTACGCACAACAGGCTTAATTTAACCATTGTGCAAAACTAAACAAAAACAATTTAAAATTACGTATCGTGCTCCGCATATCTGGAATAAAATCTTAGCAAAATATAGTAATTTACCAGGTGTAAACAACATAAATTGCTTTCAAAAACTAATAAAAAAGAATATTTCAAAGTATACTATCTTATTAACGATTTCTTTTAAAGCGCTTTTTTTTTTTTTTTTTTTTTTTTTTTATGTTTGTTTTTTTGTTTTTGTCTTTTTATATTGAAAAGTTTTTGGTTTTAACACTATTTACCTTAGTTTAATTAAGTTTTGCTTTTAACACTATTATAGGAATTTAATATTGTAAAAACAAAGTTATTACAACGGTTCTTGATAATAAGACTTAATGGTCTTCTGCAAGTTTCCCGCGTTTTTATTCATTTTTGTTTAACTAACTCTTATTATTTTGTCTTTGATTTTTTATATTTATAACTGGTTTATTTTTGAAAGAATAAGAGGACCTTGTATTACGGAATTTAATTGTAACAAAAACGGAAAATTAAAAAAAAAACAAAAAAAAAACATTTTCCTATCTTTTTTACCATTAACTTCAACTCTAAAATTATGACTAAAAACTACATAAAAGTTAGATTTCGCAACTATAACCAAAAAAATATTGAGCAATTTAAAACACAATTATCATTGCTTCATTAAAAGAACATCGACTTTAGTGATAACGCAAACAACATTTACGATAATTTTTTTAAAACATTTTACTCTTTTATGATGCCAATTTTCCTTAATATGAAAAAAAAAACAATAAATCAAAAAAACAATAATTCTCCCTGGGTTACCAAAGGTTTAAAAAAATCATCAAAAGTTAAGCAGAGATTATACATAAAATATCTAAAAAACAAGTTATTCGCCGGTGAGAAAATACGCAAAGACTACAAAAATCTTTTTGAAAAATTTCGGAAAAACTTAAAAAAACATTACTATTCTAAAGTTCTCAATAAAGCAAAAAATAATTGTAAACGCTCCTGGGAATTAATCAAAGAAATTACTGGTAAATCAAAGCCATGCTCAGGTTTCCTGCCACACATGATCTAAGTGGATAACAATATTATAAATAATTGTCAAACAATAGCTCACGAATTTAATAAATTCTTTGTTGAAATTAGCCCTAAAATTATCTAAATTAATTCCTAACACTAAACCCTCATTTAAAGATTTCTTAGTACCAATAGATAATTGAATTCACTCGAATGAGTTATCTAAAGAGTTATTATTTGATGAGTTCAAAAAAGTCTTCAAAACATTAAAAAAAAATTAAGCAGTTGGACCGGATGAAATCAATGGTAACATAATTTTAGATTGCTTTGCACAAATAAAATATATTCTTTTTAAAGTCTTTAAATCATCAATCGAACAAGGAGTCTTTCCTGATCAATTTAAAATGGCTAA